TATGACAGAGTAATTGTTGCTATTGTAAGAGGAGAGGAGAGAAGGTAGATGTGGGGATTTTGGTTATAGTGGTTTCTGCTGTTGTTTTGTTTTGACAGGGTATTTGTTGTTAATGTAAATGAGGAGGACGATATGGTGATTTTGGTGATATTCGTTCATGATGTAGTTTTGATATGGCAGAGTAATTGTTACAATTGTAAGAGGAGAGGAGAGAAGGTAGATGTGGTGATGGTGATGATTGTGGTTTCAGTTGTTGTTTTTATATGACAGTGTAATTGTTGCTAATGTAAGATAGTATGTAGATGTGGTGATTGTGGTTATTGCAGTTTCTGTTGCTGTTTTGATGACAGGGTAATTGACAAGGAGTTTTCAAATAGTTTCGGTCATGTAACAATTTTTGTAGATCATGTATTACTGATAATTTTTGCTGTTTTCCATTTCTTCTTATCTATTAGTTTTCAAATTAATAGGTAAAAACTAAAAAAGTAGTAAAAAAATCGTTATTTTATATAACGGCATTAACTCATTTAAAGAGTCGTCTGATAATTTTGGTGGAATAGACAGGAGGTTGATATCGATATTTTGAGCATCTGTACAATATCATATTCTCTCTTTCTAATGTGGTTTTCAAGATACATGTTTTAGAAAATAAATACACATTTTACCCTCATGTTCGATTTTTAGCCATGGCGGCCATGTTGGGCAATTGGCTAAAAAAACACACACTTTATACTAGATACATTAAGAATCATTGAGTTAAAGTTTGGTTAGTGGTTTCAGAGAAAATAATTTTAAAAGTTTAGGACAAAGACGAGGACGGAAACTAAGTGATGGCAATATCTCGCATGGGCCTTTTTGCCAGGTGAGCTAAAAATGAAGGTGTCATCATGGTATTTATGATTGATATCAGATATATGACCAGTCCCCTCCTGAAAAATGAACTCATTTCGAATTGTTTCTGATTATCAAACTCATACAAGGTTTAGATGAGTGGAAACCTTCATATAAATTTGAAAAAAAAACCCTGGCAACAAAAAAATAATGGGATATTTTTACGTGTCCCTCCCTAAACCTAGTCTTTCATCCCAAGTTTTCTGATTATCGAATACATCTGAGGTTTTGATGAATTGAAGCGACCATACAAATTTGAAGAGCATCCAATGAAAAATTTAGTCAGTATCCTAGTAACAACAGTGATGCTAGAAAGGCAAGACAAACTAACAGGTCGGAGATTTAAATAACACCCTCCGAAACTTAGTTGCAAGTGGTACAATAAACTTCATTTAATGCATTATTTTATTTGCATTATATACCATGAAATAAATTTGATTAAAAGATCCACAACAAACCAAATATAGTGATGAAGATACATAAAGAGTCACACCTGTACCTGAATCGCCAGATTGATAATTAAGACTGTAGAATCAACATTTCAGGGCAACAACTCCAAAACGGGATGTCAAATTTTCAGAGTGGATAGATCTTGTCATGTTGATCATTTTTGCAGTTAAAGCTTCTAACCTAGCTTTTTTAAAAATAATAACAGCAAAAATACAAAAAAAAAGGAAAAAATGTATATTTCAGGGGCAATAACTGAAATCAGTCATGTCAGAAAAGCAAAATAAAATTATATAAGGATGACAGATTTTTCTGAAATTTTCAATGGTTAATCGATCTTGTTGTGCTGACAATTTTTGTAATTTACAGCCAAAATATTGGATTTTAGGGCAATAACTCCAAAATAGGTCGACAGATTTTTCTCCAATTTGTATGGTAGTTACATTTTGTCGTTCTCGTCCTTTTTGCGATTTACATTTTTAACCCAGTTCTTATAGTTTTCACGATAAGATCCAACAATTGCTAAATATCGGGGAGGAAATCGATATTTTAGGGGCAATAATTACAAAGGAAGTTGTTAGATTTTTTTCAATTTAAACTATTACCTTGGCACGGAAATGCCACAAAAGTAAAAAATAACTAGAGGCTCTGTGGTTTTGGTAATGATGTAAAATAAGGTTAAAATCATAATAAATAGTATTAGATACCCTAATAATGATTGAGGCCAAGTTTGATTTAATTTGGCCCAGTAGTTAAATTAAAAGCAGGTCACCCCATTACTATTGTAGTCTTACAATAGTTACTGAAGACCCCTTATCATTATTTGAATTAGTATTCAAGTTGTGACCATTTGAAATTGTTTTTTTACAATGTTCCCATAGACTTCTATTACAGTAAACCCCTATGTTCTATTTTTAGCAATAGTGGCCATGTTGGTTGGATGGCAGGGTCATCGGATACATTTTTCAATCAAAATAACCTTTTGAAAATTGTGGCTAAGTTTAATTCTATTTGGCCCAGTCGATTAAGTGAAGATTTTTGTAAAAGATTACAAAAATTTAAGAAAAAATGTTAAAAATTGACTATAAAGGGCAATAACTCCTTAAGGGGTCAGTTGACAATTTTGGTCATGTTGTCTTATTTGTAGATCGTAATTTGCTGAACATTATTGCTGTTTACAGTGTATCTCTATCTATAATAATATTTAAGATAATAACCAAAAACTGCAAAATTTCCTTAAAATTACGTATTCAGGGGCATCTCCCCAACAAGGGGTTGTCTGATTCGTCTGAAAATTTCAGGGCAGATAGATCTGAACCTGATAAACATTTTTACTCATTGTTAGATATGCTCTAAATGCTTTAGTTTCAGGGATATAAGCCACAAACTGCATTTCACCTTATGTTCTATATTTAGCCATGTCGGCCATCTTGGTTGGCAAGCGAGGTCGTCACGGCAGACACATTTTTTAAGCAAGATACCCCAATGATGATTGTGGCCAAGTTTGATTTAATTTGGCCCAGGAGTTTCAAAGGAGAAGATTTTTGTAAAAGTTAACGACGATGACGGAAGACAACGACGGACGACGACGGACAACGGACGCCAAGTGGTGAGAAAAGCTCACTTGGCCTTTTAGGCCAGATGCGTTAAAAACAGCATTTCCAGGGCAATAACTCCAAAACAGGTTTACAGATTTTTTCCAAAATGTTCAGGGCAGATAGAAATTGAAAATTTTTTTCTAATTGCTCTAGTTTAAAAGATATTAACGAAAACTGGAGTTTGACCACTATGTTTTATTTTTAGACACAGCCGCCATGTTGGTAGGTCAACAAGGATGAAAAACACAAACTTTATAGTTGACATCCTCAAGATAAAGATTGCAGGCTTTGGTTTAAATCCATTGAGCAGTTTCAGAGGAACAGATTTTTAAAGAAAAGATTACGAATGACAGACAACGGATGAATGAGGGACACAAAGTGATGGCAAAAGCACACATGAGATAATAAAAAGATACACAACAGTTTATCAAATGTCTTTCAGACTATACAGATAATTATGTTCTTGATAATATTTGACAGGAATGACAGTTTAAACAAAAGCTAATAATATCAAGTCAGTGGTTTTAATTTAGAGCTAGCATACATGATAGGGCCTTTTATAGAAGACTATATGATATGGGTTATTCTCATTGTTGAAGGCTGTACAGTTGCCTATAATTGCTTTCATCCACTTCATTTGAACGTTGGTGGATAGTTGTCTCATCGCCAATCATACCACATCTCTTAATTTTTATAAGTTCTGGGTTGTTGAAATAATCTCACCAGGGTTGAGCTCTCAGAAACATGTTTAACCCCATCCCATTCTGCATGTGCCTGTCCAAAGTCAAGAGCCTGTAATACAATGGTTGTCAAGGTTGCTGCCTGTTACATTTGTTTTTTGGTTTATTGTTTTGTCATAAATCGGGTCGTTGGTTTTTTTCTCTTTGAAATTCACATTTTGTCATGTTATGGCCTTTTAGATCTGATTATGCGGTATGGGTTTTGGTCATTTTTGCTTAAGATTACCTATAATTGCTTAAATCCACGCTAATTTGACTCCGTTTGGAAATTAGTCTCATTTGCAATCATACCACATCATCTTATTTTATATTACCAACATGAATTTGTCTTCACACAGACATGCAATTTTATTTCACACAGCTGCTTGTCCTGTCTAAAAGATACTATCTCTTGCAGACTTGTTCCTTTATTCATACAAGGCCGACTTCATACAGGAACTTCTAAGGAAGAAAGAAAAGAAGTTAGCAGTATCCTTTAACTTTACTTTCCGCTATATAGATGTTCTCTCACTAAATAATTCAAAATTTGGTGACTTTGTTGAATGCATCTATCCCATTGAACTTTAGATAAAGGATACAACAGATACAGTTAAGTCTGCCTCATATCTTGACTTACATCTAGAAATTGACAATGAAGGTCAATTGAAAACAAAACTTTACAACAAAAGAGATGATTTCAGCTTCCCAATAGTGAACTTTCCATTTTTATGTAGTAACATTCCAGCAGAGCCTGCATATGGTGTATATATCTCCCAGCTGATATGATATTCCAGGGCTTGTATCTCCTATCATGATTTCCTTGATGGAGGGTTGCTGCTCACAAGGAAGCCATTAAACCAAGAGTTCCTAGTGGTGAAGTTGAAATAATCCATTCGTAAATTTTACTGATGCCATCACGTGTTGGTTGACTGTTATGGAATATCTGTTTCACAGATGACAACGGATATGTTTCAATTGTCGTAATTACAATCCTGTCCCCTTTTCCCCAAATGTGACCTTCTGAATTAGACTTATCACCGGGTTTGTACTAAAATGAGAAACATGATGGGTGCCACATGTGAAGCAGGATCTGCTTACCCTTCCGAAGCACCTGAGATCATCCCGAGTTTTTAGTGGGGTTCGTGTTTCTCAGTCTTTAGTTTTCTATGTTGTGTTTTGTGTACTGTTGTTTGTCTGTTGGTCTTTTTCTTTTTTAGCCATGGCATTGTCAGTTTTTTTTCGACTTATGAGTTTGAATGTTCCTTTGGTATCTTTCACGTCTCTTTTTCTATCTCAAGACAGGCCAATTGACTGGCATTTCAAGTTAAATATTCAAGATAAACGATTCTGTAATAATAAAAATATTTTATTGAATAAAAAGAGCAAATAAAACATAAGTAAATATTGTTCTACAGCTTTATATAATATAAAATGGTGTTATGTGAAGCAAATAGTTTTTATCAAATAATGCATAATAAATCAAGCAGTTGTTCATTAACAGGGTGAAAACATGCATAAATATATCATGGTGTCGGTGATGATAAATAAACAACCAACGGTTACACACATCGAAAAATAGTTTTTTTTTTTTTCATCACAATTTAACTAACAATCATACAACCATTTTTGTTTATCTCAAATTCTGATTTCATCATTTTATTGTTTAAAAATGTGCGTTCACTCATATAACTTTATTTAAACAAAAAGATTTACACAAAAAAATATATTTCACAAATTGTAACAAATCATATAAAAATATAATCTGCTGTACATTTCAAAATTGCAAAAACTACCAACCTTGATTAAAAATTCCATTCTACAACTAACACTAGCAGTTTTGAATCAGTTTAAAGAAGAAAAACCCACAGCATGGAAGAATTGTATTTGTTAAGTAATGTAACATTATAACGTACATTGTAATTTGCTGATATTAAGTTTGTTTATTCTAAGATCTACTTGTTTATAAAGATATGTTCTAATACTGCTTACATGCTCTTTTTAAACATTTACCTGTAGTCTTGTCCTTACCATTACCTATTAAACTTGTCAAGTTCTTCTAGTTGTTCACAATTTTATGCAAAGTTTAAGTTATTACATATCCTTTGTTTTTCTATTAAAGAAAATTTCTTCACTTTATTCTATTTGTTTCATTGATTCTCAAAAAGTAATAAATGCTAATAACAAAAACAGATCATAAATTCCAAACAATACAAAAATCATCAGATGATTCGTAAAAAAATCAAAATATAATAAAAGCATTATCATATACAGCAGTATATACATTAAATAAAAGCTGCCTATGATCAATATAAAACTAACACCCCTCTCTCTATACACTATCTATAATCCCTAAGCTTAATATAGATATGTAATTACCAAAGTTGTGAAAAATGTAATGTGCAAAAAAATGTATAAAAAACAGATCAAACATACTCCAAATATTGAAAAAATATAAAGAAAGCTGAAAAAAATTAATTCTGCCAATAATCTAAACCTTTCCATGTTAATTCGAACTGAAGGCCATTGATCTAATTAATCTTTAATCGTAAATCTGTTGATTTGTAAATGCTTTATTTTTTAGGCCAAAAAAAGTTTGAAGCACACCACACCTCCTCCTTTCATAGAAAAACAATAATTAGAACTACATACAAAGAGAAGTAATAATTTATATTTCAAAAAGTCTACATGAGCAAGCGAGAATATTGCACACAGCCAATGGCCATTTTGCACACAATAATGAAATTATGCAAGATATGTGAAATCCTTTATTCAAAATAATGCCCTTAACTTGACACAACACTACATTTTTACAGATTTATATTCCCAAAAGAATGTAGATTTTGTAGAACTGTGTAAATGCTTTATATTAACATGTACATTAGTACAATACCTCTATGACAGTACAAAGCAGTGCATGTAATATTTCACAATTCATTTCAGGAAGCAAACATCAGAGAAATTAATAGAATTTAATATACCATTCTTGATTATCGAAGAATATTTAGTTTTTTATAAATCAGGGATTATTTTGCTTTGAAATTAATTTAACTGAAAATCATTAAAATTAACATGAAAACACCTCTTACCCCATACATAAGTATCATTTTCTAACAGCTCTCACCCATTCCAGCAACTCTTGAAAAAAAATTCAAGAAGGTAAATAATGGAAATTAGTTAAATAACTGATAAAAATCATACCTGTTTAAATGTTCTGCAGAAATAAGAGTTTTCAATCTATGTTACAAGCAGATGTCCCAAATTGCATTGGAAGGCAATACTACAAATGTAGCATTGTTGTTGGTTCAACTATGGACAAAGGAAGATAACTCCAATTTTAAATTTTACTTTAGCTTTTTAGAACAGATACTAGATTTATGCACAAGTAATGTAATTTTCTTGACAAGTATCGTTATACCCATACACATCATTTTGTAAATTGAATATCTGAGTATATATTATATTGATAAATTTCTTGAATTGTTTGTGGATATGATGAAGAGAATGTTGTGATCAATGCACTATGTTTTGTTTATCTTAAAACTAGTGATAAAAGTCTGGAAAATTGACTACTATCAAGCCAACCACATAAGGGTTTTGATTGCATGAATGCAATCTTAACCCAAAAAACCCAAATAATCTGGGCATTAGAATAATAATACCTTTACTATAATAGAAAAATATAAAAGCGATTACATTCACCACTTCTTCTAACATTAAGTATGATACAAAATGTACAACTAAAATGACAACAGGATAACATAAACTACAATTAAAACAAATTTACATACAGATAAAAGAAGGTTTCATATGATATTTGTTGGAAACAGTATTCAGATTTCCTCAAATAATCGAATTAAACAACACTATTTTATTACATTTTTAAATATAAACACAAGGTACATAATAAACATGCAATAAGATTTAAAATACTTAAGATTAAAAAATATGAAAGTGTGAATGTCTACAAAGATTTATCCAACCTTTAAACAAGATACTGTTACTATAGCTCACTAATGTGTCCCCTCTATAAGTATTGGCTAGCAGGAAATTACTGAGCGATAGATGTTCAAGGGCGGATCCAGCCATTTTTAAAGGGGGGGGTTCCAACCATATGTCCCCATTCAAAAGCATTGATCGTCAAAAAAGGGGGGTTCCCTGGAGACACCACTGATGTTAAATTACATTATACAGTATAGCATGCAAACATGAAGCTTGATTCCCATTTCAGTAAGATATGATTTGTAGTTAGAAAGAAAAATGTGAAGAAAATCACATACATGCCCATTATGTGTAAGAATATATAAAGCAGACCTGGGGTAATTAAAATGTTTTTCACATGTTTACATAATAAACAGCTGCGCCATGAGCACATGATACGCCTGTCGTCTTGTGTGTGAATTTTTATGCAATAAGCATAAATAGTTTCTGACATGCGAAAACCCCCTTCTTTTTTTTACAAAAAACTCAATATCTCTAAAATAAAATTTTCAATTAAAACCAAAAAGTATACAGATCTTTAGATTAATATAACTAAGAAGTGTGTAAAATTTTAAGCAATAATCATAAATCGTTTTTGAGATACAGCGCGACATGTGAAAACCCCCCTTTTAAAAAAAAATCAATATCTCAAAAATAAAATTTTGAATCAAAACCAAAAAGTATACAGATCTTAAGGTTAATATAACTAAGAAGTGTGTAAAGTTTTAAGCAATAATCATAAATCGTTTTTGAGATACGGCGCGTCATGTGAAAAACCCCTCCCCCTTTTTTAACAAAATACTCAATATCTCTAAAATGAAATTTCGAATCATCACCAAAAAGTATACAGATCTTAAGATTAATATAAATAAGAAGTGTGTAAAGTTTTAAGCAATAATCATAAATTGTTTTTGAGATACGGCGCGACATGTGAAAAAAAGCACACACCTGTTTTAGTTACTAAGTCCCGTAACTCAAAAAGTTTTAATCTTATTTTCACCAAAAAGTATACAGATCGTTTGACCATCATAAGAAACAACTATTTTAAGTTTCATGAAATTTGGATAAGTCATTCTCAAGTTACGGTGCGACATGTTTACGCCGGACAGACACCTGACATTTGTATACCATAATACGTCCCGTCAAAAATTGACGGGCGTATAAAAAATCTAAAAATTTAAAACAATACCAATTTATTTTACATACAATTTGTAAATATGTTGTTCTAACAATTGACAATAATCTCAGGTTATACCTTTAACTTAGCTAATTATGAAGTACAATGATGTCCCTTGATTAAAATGCCAAAGGCAATTTTTATTTTAAACCATCATACTTATTTATGTTAAAATCTCTTCATATGAATTTTATTTAAACATCTTCTATAGAAGTTTAAATACAGCAGTCTGAACATGCAAGAATGGAGTCCAATATATATACTTGACAATTTTGACTTGCCAAAGGACAAGTCTGGAGAATGCTACTATTACTTCTTCTGTAATAAATGGAAGCTGAAAAGTTACTTCAAATTTCACCTGAGGTACATAAGAAAACCTTTAAAATCTTAATTAACATTTTTTAGTATAAACTTGAAATTTTAAGAAAAAATTTTTGAAAAATAAAAAAATATATTTATCTGGATCTATATAAATCCTTATAAATTTTTTCCCCATAAAAATAAGAAATGCAATCAAATAATTAGCATTGAAAAAATAATGGTGATTAAATGTAACAATGACGTTAGAAATTTGAAAACTTAAAACAAATCTTGTACAAATGTTTTCACTGTTAAAAAGTGCATGTATATATAAAAGTTTCATAATGTTCTAGCCTGTTGTCTTTTTTATGAATTTATTCTAAATGATATAGCTCTTACATGTCTTTGGACAAAAGTAACTGAAATGTATTTAATTACATTGGCAATGTAATTAATTACATTTGAAAATCAATGTAATTGTGCTGTAATTAATTACATTTAAAAATCAATGTAATTGAAATGTAATTAATTACTTTGGCATGTAACTGACCCCAGGTCTGATATAAAGTATACAGTAACAGGAAGTTCATGAGCAAAAAGCATTACACAGTACAGCATGCTCATATGAACCTTTCTATTAAATTTTAGGAAGCTCAGACTTGTAGTTCCTGAGAAAAATGTGACTGAATTTTCACAGGACGGATGGTCAGACACAGAAGTAGGACAGAGCAGGGTTTTAATGAAAGATGTTGAAATATCATGCCTAAGTTACAGTTTTCTTCTAGCAATGTTAACACTTTCAGCAATCAATTAAGTTACATATACAGCTATTTAATAGATTAATCTAAACTTAAAATGAAAGAAAAAAAAAACCTTATAAAATATTTGTTTTTAGAAATGTTTACATGATCAACAATCTTATAGTACTGTACATTCAATCAATTCTTAGCTGCTACATACAAAATTACAGTGATATATAATTCAAAGATAAGGTGTTGGATAGTGTAATTCAAATACTTCAGTTTTGATTGGGTTTTAAAAGAGGTAAAAGAAACCCATTCTGGATTTTGTCAAAAAAACTAACAAAAAACTTGCATTGACAAGACTTTACAAAAGCACCTGTAGACATGCAGATCTTAAATATCACACTCTGTAGACTTAGATAGCTGAGAAATTCCTGCTCTGTGTGATCATTACTGTTAGTTTTCCAGGCCTTTGTTGATCTCCTTGTTTTCCTTGACCAACCAAATCAACTGATACAATACTGTCCTTCATGTCATCAGTACTCATAAACACATGCTTTCCCATGTATGTGTCTTTCAGAATATTGTGATTCCAAATCTGAAAACAGTAAAAATAGAACTAATCAACACTTACCTAAACCTTTCTTATGTATCTTTCACTGTTTGAATACCTAGATATAAGTATATTTCATTCAGTCTTACTCATGATCACCAGAAGCCAGTTTTTTATTTACACCAACAATACTAAAAATTTGTAAGGGTTCCGCGGAACCCAGTGTCTCGCCTACTTTTGCTGTTTATCGCAGGCTCAACAAAAATGAAGAAAAAAATCAATAAAAATATTCCTTTAGATACTATCTTTCGATTGTAAGAAGCTTCTGTCAAAGTTTGGTATAAATCCAGGATAGTTTATGAATCTAATAAATGTTTTAAAAACTTTAACTGCAGACTGTATTTAATGTTAACTGGAAGAAAAACTAAGTCCATTTATAAGTAAAATACGGACAAACGGGTACAAATTTTAACAAAATTTCCTTCTAGATCATGTAGATACTAGCTTTTGATCATAAACAAGCTTCTGTCCAAATTTGGTACAAATCCAGGATAGTTTAAGAAAGTTATTCAAATTTTAAAAACTTTAACCACAGAGTGAATGTATTGTTTCCTGGCAGAAAAACTAAGTCCATTTATAAGTAAAATACGGAAAAAATGAAATTTTTTTTTTAATAAATTTACTTCTGGATACTATCTTATGATCATAAACAAGCTTCTGTCCAAGTTTGGTACAAATCCAGGATATTTTAAGAAAGTTATTAAAATTTTAAAAACCTTAACCACAGAGTGAATGTATTGTTTCCTGGCAGAAAAACTAAGTCCATTTATAAGTAAAATACGGAAAAAATGAAATTTTTTTTTTAACAAATTTACTTCTGGATACTATCTTATGATCATAAACAAGCTTCTGTCCAAGTTTGGTACAAATCCAGGATATTTTAAGAAAGTTATTAAAATTTTAAAAACTTTAACCACAGAGTGAATGTATTGTTTCCTGGCAGAAAAACTAAGTCCATTTATAAGTAAAATACGGAAAAATAAAAAAAAAATTTTTTAACAAATTTACTTCTGGATACTATCTTATGATCATAAACAAGCTTCTGTCCAAGTTTGGTACAAATCCAGGATAGTTTGAGAAAGTTATTAAAATTTTAAAAACTTTAACCACAGAGTGAATGTAATGTTTCCTGGCAGAAAAACTAAGTCCATTTATAAGTAAAATACGGAAAAATAAAAAAAAAATTTTTTAACAAATTTACTTCTGGATACTATCTTATGATCATAAACAAGCTTCTGTCCAAGTTTGGTAGAAATCCAGGATAGTTTAAGAAAGTTATTAAAATTTCAAAAACTTTAACCACAGAGTGAATATTTGTGGATGCCGCCGACGACGACGCCGACAGAATGTAGGATCGCTATGTCTCGCTTTTTCGACTAAAATCGAAGGCTCGACAAAAATGAACATCTCACATTCATAAAAAAGATGTGTTTTTAAGGTAGCTGAGGTGTCTAAATTTTCCACAATAGATTTTTCTTAAATTTCTGTACAAGACTTCTGGTCCAATGTACTTTTAAATTTCAATGTAAAAACTTGGGGTCAAGGTCTTGTTATTAATGAAATCACAGTTATTTTACATGGGTAATATAGGGAAACTTAATCTTTCTTTATTCAGGAAACATTTTAAAAAACAATTGAATTGGTTAAAATTCAATGAGATAATTGTTTTTCATAAATAATTACAAAATACCAAATAAAATGCTCGGCTGTGCACAGCTTGATATGACTGCAGAGGTCAAACCCTGAACAGTTGGGGTAAGTATGGACACAACATTCAAGCTTGATACAGCTCTGAATTTGGATTGTGAATAAAAATATGACAGCATAGGTTTCTGACACAGAATGAATCTGGTCAAAGAACTGGAAAATTTGAAATTGGACTTTTACCTATTATGGTCCAATATCCAAAATCTAAATACAAGGTTAGCTTCAGCATATCCAATTACACCAAGAATTTAATTAATTTGTTCAAGAATGGACAATATTATCTAAGTTTTCTAAAGGGGTTGGCTTCATCAAAAAAAATTATAAATGTAGCATCCTGAAAAGTAATTTATACAGAACAACAAACAAACTTATCACAAAGTTCTTCAAAAATTTACCAAAAAAAAATGGAAAAAACAATTTCCAAAAAAATCTATAAAACTTACCTGTAATTATTTTTCAAAATATCTAATAATGAACAGTTAATTTCAAACTACATTTTCTATTTATTGTGCAATACATCTCTGAATTTGGATTGTGATTAAATATTTAACATAGCATAGTTTCTAACACAGAAGGAATGTGGTCTAAGAACTTAAAAAATTGAAATTAGACATATACCTTTTATGGTCCAATATACAAAATCTAAATACATGGCTAGAATCAGCATATCACAGAACTCCAAGAATTTCAATTTTGGACCCTTTGAACCTCAATGTGGACCAATTTGATAATGGGGCCCAAAATCCAAAATCTAAATACAATGTTAGATTCAGCATATCAAAGAACCCCAAGAATTCACACATTTTTAAAAAAAAATCAAATAAAGTTTAATTTTGGACCCTTTGGACCTGAATGTGGACCAATTCAAAAATGGGACTCAAAATCCAGAAAATACACAGTTAAATTCAGCATATTATAGAAGCCCAAGTATTCAAGACTTTGAATAAAACTACATTGAAATTGGCCAAGAAATAAGCAATTTATACAAAGTCTTTGAACAATATTATTTTTGGCCCCTTTTTCCTAAATATTTAGGGCCATAAACCCCAAAATCAATCCCAACCTTCCTTTTGTGGTATGGAGCCTTGTGCTACAAATTCATAGAGATCCATACACTTATACTCAAGTAATTGTCTGGAAACCAAACGTCTTCGGACGACAATGAAGATGACGACGTCATAACATTATACAAAAAATAAGAGGAATCGACGAATCTGCACCTCTAGAATTAAGAATTAAGGAACAGCTCCTATTGCAATTATATGATCAGTATTGTACAGGGATAATATCAAGAGCCCATTACGTATGTTCACTGGGATATAAATTCCAGGCTAAACAGACTTGTCTTCAAACGTTTAAATCTGCCAAATTCTGTATATGCCCTTCCCAAGTCAGGAGCCTGCAGTTCAGTGGTTGTCATTGGTTCGTGTCTGTCACATTTGTTTTTCATAAATTGTTTTTTTAGAAACTAGGCCGTTAGTTTTCTCAATTGAATTGTTTCAAATTTTCATGACGGGGCCTTTTATATCTGACAATTCAGTATGGGTTTTTCTCATCTTTGAAGGCCGTACTGATGCCTACAATTGCTTACATCCACTTCATTTGAACTTTGGTGGATAGTTATCTCATTGGCAATCATACCACATCACCTTATTTTTATTTTGTACCTTTTCAGACATTAGTGCTATATTTACAAAGTAATTGACTAACTACTTTTATTTTTTTCTGTCTTGATACTTTATTAATTTATTATTCTACTATGAATTAATTTCTGTCGCTAAAATGAGCATTGGTAATTTCACTTTTTGTTAAAATGTGTTAAAAATCTTGCGCTAAATTGGGTTATACTTTAGTGCTCAAATGTCTGATATTTTATCGCTAAAATGTCTTCAGCTGTATCAATGATCCATGAAAATGAGGTCAAGGTCAGTCCAACCCAGCCAGACAAACATGTATGACTTACAATCATTCCATGCACCAAATATACATAATTTTTATCCTATTGCTTATAGTATCTGAGAAACACACCAAACCAAGACAACTAAACTTTGACCAATGAACCATGGAAATTACATTAAGGTCTGATGAACTCTGTTATACAGACAAGTATCTGATGTGTGTAGACCTATTTAAAGTTGTGTGTGTGTAATTACCTGTATTTTCAATGGTTTATTTGGTTTCGTCCTGAAGAAGACAGCAGACTGATTCCATTCTGGTGCTGTAGTATCAGATGCAGTTTTTGTCCTGACTTTCTCTCCTTCACAACTTATTATACAGTATGGATCAGCTCCTACAACATATTCCAATATAAGTTTTACATGTTAAAGACAATTTCTATGATCAACACATTGTCAGTGTCGAAGGCCATACATCATCTTTAACACCACCATTAAATACATATCAGTACCATTTTTCCAATCCTACTCAAATACATCTCATAATTTCTAACATAAACAAAATGAGAAGAAATTAAATGTACAAAATGTCTTCACCGCAAATTTACGAAATCATTAATTCATCTTATTTGTGAAACAACTATTTTTTTCTGCAGTTTTACATCAAATTTATTCAATAAAACTCCAAACATCAACTCAAATAAGTACATTCTAAAGTTGTATATATTAAAAGTTTTCTGCACATTATCCTTGACCAATCATGTATTCTTACAGAGGAAAAAACCAAATTCTGAAACCTCACTTACTAGAGCTAACTCCTTTGTTCAGGAAAATAAGGTAAGGATCAGATGATAATGTCCCAGGCACTAATCAGTTTATAGTTTCTTAAAAAATATGAATAATAAGTATGTCTTTTAATCAAAAGCATGCATTAAATTCATAACCTAAAATATAATTTCTGCAGTTACCAGTTCTCTCTTGTCTTTCCAATCCTTCAGCTCTTATGACCTTCACTTTTGTTACCATCTGAGGAGTGGAAGCACAACAGTTTAGAAAACTCTTCTGTGGTTTGTCATGAAGAAGTGACCTGAAATTAATTTTTTTCACAATTAAAATTTAAATGAAATCTGTACAGATATGATGCACTTAAATTAGCAAACAACAAAAATTCAACAATCATCAAATCTGTCTTGTTCATTGGACCGTGATGATATCTTCTCAGATCAATTTTAAATTCTGTGCTGCATACATATACTATGTCATACTTTGAAAAAAAACAGTCCTTAATTTTGGCATGATTTTCTTAGCTTAGAATTTCATTTATAGGCTACTTCTTAATTTATTTCACACTCACAATTTATGGCAATTATTGCAAATTCTACAAGACTATCATTCAAATTTGATCAATGCAAAAAATAATATTTCTATAAAATGCTTACTTAAAATCATTAGCATTAGCTGAATAGATACGAAACAAAAATGATTCCTCCAAGCCTTGGTCAAATGTACAGGTCACAGCTACATATCTGCCTTGCTTTAGATTATGTTTTAGAAAGATTGAGCGCTGATTTTTAAATACTGTAGATGTTACAATGGTGTGCTGAGTCAAATCATGAATTCTGTAACGACGATTTTCTTCAACCTGCCAAAAAAATTCAATATATTCCATAACAATGTTTGATTAAATAATTTATCTGAATCACAGTTTCCATTCTTTTAATTAAACAACATGAGGCTGTCAGAGAGACAGCAAACCGGAATTTCCTGAAGAGGTCAAACCCTGAACAGTTGAGCAAGTATGGACACAACATTTAAGCTTAAAACAGCTCTGAATTTGGATTGTGATTGAATATTTGATACAGCATGGTTTGTGATACAAAATAAATGTGGTCAAAGAACTGAAAAATTTGAAATTGAACATTTACCTATTATGGTCCAATATCCAAAATCTAAGTACATTGCTAGAATCAGCATATCAAAGAACCCCAAGAATTCAATTTTTGATGAAATACTTCTTAGTTAAACCATTTCTGTTCAAATGGAAATAACTCAAACTTTATTTCCATGAACCAATAATGTAAATCTAAAATTAAATATGAATTAACCATAGACTCTAAAATTAGATATGATGTAAAGAGATATGATGTTATATTTATTTTTAAATTATAATCAAATATAATTAATAGTTTTCTAATAAATCTGTCACTCCAATTATAATTGGGTGATTGCATTGACAATAAACCAGATGTGTGTTATCTTATCACTTAGTGTAATCAAATTTTATATATATAGTTGATAGTTCCCAATATTTTTTCTTTCATTTGTAATATACTAATATATATCTGCAACTTATCTTATCTTAATTTTAACTTTTTAACTTATAAATAATAGATTATTATCTAATGAATTTTCAAATCTGGAAACCCAAACAGGATCAAGTAAAAATTAAAATTAACAGACACAACAAAACAATTATATACATATGTCACTCAGAAAATTAGTTTTTACAGAATAACAAACACACCATAAAATTCTTCAAACAATTTACCAAAGAACAGAAAAATTAATAATGAAAATCATACTTGCAAATCTGAAGGGTTATTTCCCTTTGAACAAAACTATGGTTTAACATAGTTCTCTAACATTACATATCTAATTATTAGTAATGTAATTAACTTCAAAATGTCTATCTCTTAAAAACCTATAAAACTTATCTGTAATTATCTTCAAAGTGTCTAATAATGAACAGTAAATTTCAAACTTCATTTATACAGTCCTACTAGTAAATTTCAAACTTTATATATACAGTCCTACAGATCTTATCAGGAAACCGAAAATTTTCAAATAAATCTGTCACTCCAATTATTATCATATGCTAAGATATTTCCCAAATCTAATTCATAATGAAAATCATACTTGCAAATCTGAAGGGTTATTTCCCTTTGAACAGATCTATGGTTTAACATAGTACTCTAACATTACATATATAATAATTAGTAATGTAATTAACTTCAAAATGTCTAATAATATAGCTTATAATCATCACCACTTAGGAAATAGAAAGTTTTCAAATAAATCTGTCACTCCAATTATAATTGTGAGATAAGACATTTACCATATGCTTATGATTACAAGAGAAAAATAAAAATTAAAACCTCAAAAAGGAGAAATACTACAATCGTGAAAATTGAACTTGACCTTCATTTAGTCAGGAGAAACAACATATCTAAATTTGAAAAAAAAATCATCACAGCGTTTTCATGTTATTGAAGAGACACTGTTTGGCAGCCACCCACCCGTCTGCCTGCCCGTCTGCCCTTGATTATATGCATGTGATGGTTAAAATAAAAGAATTGTTCAAAAAGTTATCCTCCTCTAATAAGCCTGTTCAACATACACATTATGATTATGTGGTAATCGTATACTGTTTGAATATCATCAGTATCGTCCTATTAATATTATAGTTTCATCGATACTTTTAATTTACATCTCTTTAAACATTGTTTGCAACATTTTGTAATACAAGGTTACATTTCATATTATGTACCAGTATGTTCTTAGGTACAGTTTTATACTTAATGAGAGAGCAATTCAACATCGACATGTAAACATAAACTAGAGGCTCTCAAGAGCCTGTGTCGCTCACCTGTATTTACTGATGCTTTGGAAATCATGTAAAATAAGGTTAAAATCATAATTAATAATATTAAATAATAGATATTATAATGATATCTAAGATAATAACAAAAAACTGCAAAATTTTTGTAAAATTACTAACTCAGGGGCAGCAACCCAACAACGGGTTGTCGGATTCATCTGAAAATTTCAGGGCAGATAAATCTAAATCTGATGAACATTTTTGCCACCTGTCAGATTTGCTCTAAATGCTTTAGTTTCAGAGATATAAACCAAAAACTGCATTTTACCCCTATCTTCTATTTTTAACCAAGTTGGCCATGATGGTTGGAAGGCGGGGTCATCGGACAAATTTTTTAAACTAGATACCCTAATAATGATTATGGCCACGGATGGTTAAATTTGTCTCAGTAGTTTCAGAGAAGAAGATTTTTGTAAAAGATTACAAAAATTTACAAAAAATTATTAAAAATTGACTATTAAGGGAAATAACTCCTAAAGGGGTCGACTGACAATTTTGGTCATGACAACTTATTTGTAGATCTTACTTTGCTGAACATTATTGCTGTTTACAGTTTATCTCTATCTATAATAATATTCAAGATAATAACCAAAAACTGCAAAATTTCCTTAAAATTACCAATTCAGGGGCAGCAACCAAACAACAGGTTGTCAGATTTGTCTGAAAATTTCAGGGCAGATAGATCTTGACCTGATAATCAGTTTTACCCAATGTCAGATTTACTCTAAATGCTTTGGTTTCAGAGATATAAGCCAAAATCTACATTTTACCCCTATGTTCTATTTTTAGCCATGGCAGCCATCTTGGTTGGTTGGCGGGGTCATCGGACACATTTTTCAAACTAGATACCCTAATGATGATTGTGGCCAAGTTTGGTTAAATTTGGCCCTGTGGTTTCAGAGGAGAAGATTTTTGTAAAAAGCTAACGACAACGGACGACGGACGCCAAGTGATGAGAAAAGCTCACTTGTCTCACTTATCTGTAGTGATGAGAAAAGCTCACTTGGCCCTTTGGGCCAGGTGAGCTAAAAATATAGAAAAATACAATTAAGGTAATCCATCAAACTTGAGCATTACCACCAACCCACTTCAGCATAGCTATCAACAAGAAAGCATCACAATGCCACCATTGACTTCAGCCTGATCAAAAATGCACTTCAGCGACTTACCATCACACTTCAACATGACTATTGCATTTTGGAGCACCTTCACGGTTAATCCATAATGATATAATGGTGTATTAATATACGCAAATAAATTGCTTCGCTGAGTGCAGCTGGATACAACCGCAGATGTCCAACCCTGAAAAGTTGGGGCCAAAATGGACACAATATACACGCTTGATACAGGTCTGAATTTGGATTGTAATTAAATTTTTGACACATAATTGATTTCTGACACAGAATAACTGTAGTCAAAGAACTTCAAATTGGTTATATGATTTGAATTTATATTCAATTTTTTTGCTTTTGTGCAATACACTATGCGAAATTGACTCCCCCCCCAAAAAAAAAAAAATTACCGTTTTTTTGCGTTTGTGCAATACACTATGCTGTTGAATATCAACCCCCCCAAAAAAATATTTGAAGAAATTTTCTTTTAATTTCTGAAATCTGAAATGAGAAAAATTGTCCCTCTCCAATTTTTTTCACCTCCCCCCTTTCCCTTATTTAAAAAAAATATTCTTTCCCTCAAATTATGGTCAGTATCTCAGACAATCATCATTTCTTAATACATAATTTACAAGCAATGTAAGGGAGGTAATCATACATTGTTATTTAAATTGATTTGGATTTTGATTTGGATAACCTCCCTTACACTGCTTTTAAATTGTCTCAATTGTCCTTTAACCAGAAAAATCCTTGTTTTCCCCCTTTTTTTGCCCCTAATTCCTAAATGGTTTGAGCCATAACCCCCAAAGTCAATCCTAACCATCCCTTTGTAGTATGGAAACTTGTGGTATAATTTCAGAGAGATTCATACACTTTAACACAAGTTATTGTCTGGAAACTACAAAAATGCTTATTTGGGCCCCTTTTTTGGCTCCTAATTCCTAAACAGTTGGGACCATAATCCCCAAAATCAATCCCAACCTTCCTTTAGTGGTTATACCCTTGTGTTAAAATTTTATTGATTTCTATTTACTTATACTAAAGTTATTATTCAGAAACCATCTGTCTATGGACGATGCTGACACTGATGACGACGACGACAACGACAACGTGATACCAATATACGACCAAAAAATTTTTAATTTTTGCGGTCGTATAAAAAATAAAAACAATCATTTCTGCTACCTCTATTAAATCTAAAATGAGTGAGTCTTCTATGGATGGCATGTGTTCTCTGCCACTAAATGATCTATATAAAATACTGACCTGTATAATAGTGAAGCCTACTGTCAAATTGTCACTTCCCTCTTTTCCTCTGATGGTTTTTTGTAGTAAGTGAAACATTACATCATCCTCTGCATCTTTGATATCGAACAAGAACTGTTAAAAATAAAGATATTTGTAAATCAAAATTAATTTCATGTCAACATGTCAAGTAACCTTCACGAATATATAGAAGTAAATGGGACTAAAAGTATTTATTAAATTGGCAATTTTCATAACTGTTTTTAATTCGGTAAAAAAAAGTCAAACACAGAACTGATTGATAAATTGTTGATTTTCTTAATGTCCAGAGGCAAACATTTCATGCATGTCAAAGACAATAACAAAGTGAACCAAAAATTAATGAAGGATGTTTAATTTTGTAAGTGGGTGAACTGGGATAAAAGACAGTAAATTTGTGCTGCTAAGAAAAAAAGACAGAATTTTGATAAGTGGAAGAACGTTTACGTACAAGTAAGCTATGAACCCCTTTTAGAGTTACTGCAAGGGTTCTTAATGTGCTATAGCATGGCACTATGTACAGCTAAAGGCTCAACGGCATGGGTCTTATTATTGGGTGACAGATTTCCAGGTTACCATATTTTTTCGTACCTCAATCACCTTTGCAATGTTGTTCTGTGGCATCAAAATTTTACATTTCTTTTTTTTTTACTTCTGTTTAGGTTCAATACACTTCACTGAAATCTATTTATTGAAGTAAAACAGAAATTCCTCATTACAAAAATGTAATGTCATTTAAAGATCTAACATACCAATATCAATAAATAAATTTATTTAAAACAAATTTCTGATGCTATTTTCTTTTAGACCTAAAACATTGATGTTATTATTACTTTTTAACTTGACACAATACATCTATTAGAATTTTTACAGAAAATCCAATCATAAAAAAATAAATATGTATGTCCATAAGACATAATCCCACACTCATACTATCATATTTCCATGTTCAGTGAACTGTGAAATCTGGGTCTGCCTGAATTGGCATATATTTTTAAAAGTTTAAATCATAATGAACATGTGAAATAAGTTTCCAGTTAATGTGACCACACCTGCAAAGTAAACTACCTGGACTGTTAACTTGATACTGAACAGACCTACACAGGCAGAGACCAAAATTATAAGGCCCCTCTACTGTTGTGTAATAAAGAGTTTCTCGTTGAACACACCTGAGGATTTTGAAGAAAGGTGTCTCTATTATTTGCACAACCACCTGCTCTGTCTGGTTTCTTCCATTCTCCATGAGCACTTCCTTCATGCCATGTTTTATTGATTGAGAACATTGATGTATTGACAACTCGGCACACTGCAGTGTGTACAAAGTTCTGACAATAATCATCAAATGACATCCTATAATATAGAAATTAATCATAATTTTGTTTGTGTTTTAAATAATAGTAACTAATAATCTAACAATATTATTTAACACACTGTTTAGTACGTAAATATTTAGGTAGCTTATGTGGTATAAGTAGAAAAAGATTTTTGTAGTTCCCTATAATAGTCTTAAGAAATTGTGAAACATCCAGCAGTTCACATATTTACATTTATCTTAATACTTCATGTTTTTTTAAAAGAAAGTTGATAAAAAAAAATATGATAATTCTAACAAACTTCATTCATGTGTCTTTATATAATACAAACCAAAATTCTCCATCTTCTTCAAATGTCAGACCAACTCTCTTTTTTTCTTCCTCTGGGATTTTATTCCATTCATCAGACCTACAATGTTGTTCTAATTTTAGATAAATACACATGCAATTCATTTCATTGATAGTGTATCACTGTAGCAAAATCACAACCATAGAAATCACTGAAACAACAAAACAAATATGCAAAAACAAACATCTTTATAAAGTATATATCTGTTATTGTAAAATATGCATTCAAAGCAGTTTTTCTTAACAAGAGTAATTGGTATTTTTCCCCGCCAAATCCAGATGGCAATGAATTTATGATTGTTTAATCCTAAAAAAGGGTATTTACCCTCACATTACACTAAATGCTCCTTTCAATTTTGCATTGTCCCAATATTTACCCTCACCTCAGACTAAATGCTTCTTTCAATTTAGACTGTCCTGATATTTACCCTTACCCAAGACTAAATGCTTCTTTCAATTTAGACTGTCCTGCTATATATCCTTACCCGAGGCTGAATGCTCCTTTCAATTTAGACTGTCCTGATATTTACCCTTACCCAAGACTGAATGCTCCTTTCAATTTATACTGTCCTGATATTTACCATTACCTAAGACTGAATGCTCCTTTCAATTTATACTGTCCTGATATTTATCCTTACCCAAGACTAAATGCTTCTTTCAATTTAGACTGTCCTGATATTTACCCTTACTTAAGACTGAATGCTCCTTTCAATTTAGACTGTCCTGATATTTACCCTTACCCAAGACCGAATGCTCCTTTCAATTTATACTGCCCTGATATTTACCATTACCTAAGACTGAATGCTCCTTTCAATTTAGACTGTCTTGATATTTACCATTACCTAAGACTGAATGCTCCTTTCAATTTATACTGTCCTGATATTTACACTTACCTAAGACTGAATGCTCCTTTCAATTTAGACTGTCCTGATATTTACCCTTACCTAAGACTGAATGCTTTCAATTTACATTGTCCCAATATTTACTCATAACCAGTGGCGGATCCAGAACTTTTCATAAGGGGGGGCCCGCTGACTGACCTAAGGGGGGGGCCCGCTCCAGTCATGCTTCAGTGATTCCCTATATAATCAACCAAATTTTTCCCACAAAAGGGGGGGGGGGCCTGGGCCCCCCATGTATCCGCCTATGATAACTTTAACTAAATAATCACTTAAATGTACACTGTCCCAATATTAACCCTCACATCGGACTAAATGCTCCTTTCAATTTACATAGTCCCAATATTTACACTTAAGACTAAATTCTCATTTAAATTTGTACTGTCCCAATATTGACCCTTACATAAAACTAAATGTCCCCTTCCATCTACATTGTCCCAATAGTAACCCTAACTTGTACACTAAATGCTCCTTTCAATTTACACTGTCCCAATAGTAACCCTAACCTGTACACTAAATGCTCCTTTCAATTTACATTGTCCCAATATTTACCCTGACATAACATTAAATGCTCCTTAAAATTTGTACTGTCCCAATATTAACCCTTACATAAAACTAAATGCCCCCTTCCATCTACACAGTCCCAATATTTACCCTTACCTAACACTAAATGGTCCTTTCAATTCACTCTGTTCCCCTTTATTACCCCACTTATCCATCACTAAATTCTGCTTTCAATTCAAACTGTTCCCTTATCAATCACTAAATGCTCATTTCAAATTTCTCTGTTCCCCTATATAATCCCACTTATCCATCACTAAATGATCCTTTCAATTCACTCTGTTCCCCTATATTACCCCACTGTAGAGGTTGAAACTGTGCCACAGTTTTAACTTCTACATTTATCCTGGTCATGGCACCATAAATGTAGAGGTTTAACTGTGGCAATTTATGCTAAGATATGTAAACACATCTGTTTAGCCATAGCTTTAATTAACAACTAATAAGCGCCCACTGCAACGTCACTGAAGTCACTGATGTCTACAATGGTAATGTATAAACTAAAGACTGTATTTATCCCGCGACAATCTCGACACTCACTTATCCATCACTAAATGCTCCTTTAAATTCAAACTGTTCCCTTATGTTACCCCACTTATCCATTACTAAATGGTTCTTTTAATTCAATATGTTATTGCATCAACGCCGTCATAGGCAGATTATTAGTGGTCTTTCAAACTCAAAGATATTTCTCAGCCACATCTCATCTCTGACCTGTCACCCTCGATGAAATTGTAGTTGAGAAACACCCTCTCAATTGAAAAACGATAGATAATCTAAAATTATATTACCCAACTTATCCATCATATTCATCACTAAATGCTCCCTTCAATTGAAACTGCTCCCTTATGTTACCCCACTTATCCATCACTAAATGCTTCTTTCAACTGAAACTATTCCCTTAAGTTATATCACTTATTCATCACTAAATGCCCCCATGATAACCATACTAACCCATCACTGAATGCTCCTTTCCATTCACCTTGTCCCCAAGGGTTTCTCAATCTTATCATTGGTATTTTATTATCAGATTTGAATAATCTACTGAAGAAGGTTTGGTTCTCTAGATGTATATTTTTGACTGCAGTGATGCCATATGCATGACCCTTGACTAGACCTGTTGATGTGGCAGATTCCATTTCATCACTGCTTAAAGCCTAAAATGAATTATTTAATCCATTTTACAAAAAAAATTCATAAAACGAATAAAATTCAAATAGCACACAGAAAAGCCTTAAAATGCCTCATATCAATGTACACAGGATTCTTCAGATTAACTGTTTATATGTGAAGTAATTTACGTTATACCAGCAGTAATATTTTGTAGACAGTTAACGTAATTTTACTTCAGCAATAAATGATAATTGGCTAGTCATTGTTGTATTTGATGCACAGTGATAGACAATGGATTTTATATAAGCATTAAGAAGGTCAGGGCAAATGTCTATTGGTTAACCTCTAGGTGTTTTTTTTATCTGCATTGTTGTGTTGCTATCTCATTGACCCATACCTCTTTTTATCGCTATTTTACGAAATTTTCCTTTGATCTTACTGACTGATAATATCCTTTCTCAGCACAGCAGAGTGATATGAAAAATTATCGCTAGAAACTAAGGGTGCACATGCCGTTGTCAATGTAAACATCAACATCGTCATAGGCAAAATAGCTATAAACAGGTTATCATTGGTCATCTCAACTCAGTTGCTTTTCTCACTTTCGCCATAGCGGCTCAATTGAGAAAACCAATCTTGTTGAGATGACCAACAATAATCTATAATTATTCATATTTTAAAAAAGTACTGTTCAAAATTTTATAAGTATAACAAATTAATTCTTAATATCATATACATTTTTTTACACACACATTGTAAAACTAATTCAACAACAGATTCCTAATTTAATTTGGCAAAATAAAACATTCAAAATATGATTTTAAACTTTTTTATAGAGATGCATTTGTATATTGTAATGTATTCATTCTCCAAACTCAAATAACCTACAGGAATGGATGCTGCCATTAACGAGTTTCTCTCCATTTCTTTCCCAAATTTTTTATAAAGTATTGCCCTTTCTTCAGGATTATCAGCAACACCCATTTTCACTAAATCAATCTGTTCTGATACACCACCAGTAAAATCCTCCAATGCTTCACCTAAGTCTCCACCATCTAAAGCTTCATAACACCCAAACAATCTAAATATAGTATAACGTAGTGTAAACAAGATTGATATAAAATGAGTGCAAATTTACAATCACAATCAGAAAAGAACATATTATATAGTAGAACATTCATGGGATCATGTTCCACAGTAAAACTTTCATGGGAACATTTTATACAGTAGAACTCTCATGGGAACATGTTATACAGTAGAACTTTCAAGGGAACATGTTATACAGCAGAACTTCCATGGGAACATGTTATACAGTATAACTTCCATGGGAACATGTTATACAGTAGAACTTTCATGGGAACATGTTATACAGTAAAATTTCATGAAAATATGTTATACAGTAGAACTTTCATGGGAACATGTTATACAGTAGAACTCTCATGGGAACATGTTATACAGTAGAACTTTCATGGAAACATGTTATACAGCAGAAAATTCATGGAAACATGTTATACAGCAGAACTTTCATGGGATCATGTTACACAGTAAAACTTTCATGGGAACATGTTATACAGTAGAACTTTCAAGGGAACATACTATACAGTAGAATTTTCACGAAAACATGTTATACAGTAGAATTTTCATGATAACATGTAATATAGTAGAACTTTCATGATAACATATAATATGGTAGAACTTTGAAGCATAGTGGAAAGAAATTGGTTATTTATGTTCTATGGAAATTAATTGCTTCTCAAATGAGAAGATGATCATGATAGTTTTGTTCTCTTGTATGTTTGGACCAAATGACAAGAAACAGAAATGTATTTGTATTGAACAAATTAAACTGCTTTTTAGCACTGAAGGGTGAACATTGCATTCATTTTGTACATGGAACTAAAAATTAACATCACATTGAAATAAGCATTGGAAGGCAATACTATGAAATGGAGATATCTTCTTTTGTTCATAATTATGGTTGTATCAACTACAACAATGGACAAAGAAAGATAACTCCAATTTTAAATATTACTTTAGCAATGACATATTTTTAGAAAAGATACTAGATTCATGCACCATGAACAATTAATTTAATTTTCTTGACGAGTATTGTTATAAACTTACACATCAATTTGTAAATTAGATATATTTCATTGATAAATTTTTTGAAATGTTTATGGATAGGATGTATAGAATGTTGTGCTCAATGCACTATGTTTTATTTATCTCAAAAGCAGTGATAAAGTCTGGAAAATCAAGCCAGACACATAAGGGTTTTGAATGCAATCTTTACCCCAAAAAGAGGTTGCAATTTTACACAAGAGTGCACACGCTGAAATGTCTCACCTGCTTTACTGACCATTGATTTTATGCTGATAGTCCTAAATATAAAGTGTTACTACAAGTATCACATAAACTTAACATGATCAAAGAAAATGAGATCAAGGTCAGATAAACCAAGCCAGAAATACATATACACCTTAAAATCATTCCATACACCAAATATAGTTGACCTATTGCTTATAGTATACAAGAAACAGACCAAACCATGAAAATTTTATATTCATCAAAGAACCATGAAAATGAGGTCAAGATCAGATGAACCCTACCAGACAGACATGTACACATTACAATCATTCTATGCTTTAAATACAGTTGACCTATTGCACATAGTATCTAAGAAACAAACTTAACCATGAAAACTTAACATTGATCAATGAACCATGAAAATGAGGTTAAGGTCAGATGAACCCTGCCAGACAGACATGTACATCTTACAATCCTTCAATACACCAAATATAGTTGACCTATTGCTCATAGTTTAAGAAAAACAGACCAAAACACAAAAACTTAACTCTAACCACTGAACCATGAAAATGAGGTCAAGGTCAGATGTCAGATGACACCTGCCAGTTGGACATGTACACCTTACAATCATTCCATACACCAAATATAGTAGACCTATTGCTTATAGTATCTGAGATATGGACTTGACCACGAAAACTTAACCTTGTTCACTGATCCATGAAATGAGGTCGAGGTCAAGCGAAAACTGTCCAACAGGCATGAGGACCTTGCAAGGTATGCACACACCAAATATAGTTATCCTATTACTCATAATAAGAGAGAAATTAAGAACACTAAAAATCTTAACTTTTTTTTCAAGTAGTCACTGAACCATGAAAATGAGGTCAAGGACAATGGACATACGACAGACGGAAACTTCATAACATGAGGCATCTATATACAAAGTATGAAGGATCTAGGCCTTCTGCCTTCTGAAATATTAAACTTTTAAGAAGTTTGTTAACCTGTCGTGGCCGCCACTGGATCACTATCCATATGTCTCGCTTTCTGCAACAGAAGTCGCAGGCTTGACAAAAACTTTCCTCTTCAAGCCAAACACCAAGGGGGAATTGGGTATAGAAATATGGTTGTTTTGACTTCTCCAGCCGCCAGTATAACCCTTGCAAAGTGGGGTGTACATTTGTCTGTGAAAGATGTAAAAGCACACAGCCACCTCAGGTCACAATGGTGAATTATATATGATACCTCTTGTAAGAGAGTGCCATGTTGTCTGGCAACAACTCCTTATAGGGTCTGTAGGAGGCCTGTTGCAAGGCAAAATTTATGTTCGTATCAATCATATCATTGTTTTCAAGTGGTAATATGAATTTCCCTTTCACTGTCGTCCCATCCTGCAGAACCTACTTATTCTCTTGATTGTTAATAGTTTCTTGTACTGAACATGCATGTCATTATTGCCACTGGACGTTAAACAAAAACAATTAATCTTCAAGCCATTCTGTCATTGTACCAACAACTAGGTCACTATTACTTCTTTCATTTGGAGCTTAAATTTAGTCAACATACTTGGCATAAGCTTTCTCCAATAAGGCACTCCAGAACTCATTCTTGGACTGTGAGTGAATGAATATCAGCTCATCATTTACGGTGGGTAGAAAGTCATCAATAACAACTTCCAACCATTCACCATATCTCCAGAAACGGAAGTAAAATATTCCCTGATAATCATCTGGCTTATCTTCATTCCAGTCCTGCTCCTTATAGTTAGGAATTACCTGCAAAGTCATTTACATATTTTATGTTAATATTTTCCCAACACTTTCACTTCAAATATGGACCAAAAATTGGAATTAACAAAGCAACCTAACAGCACAACTTGTCAAATAGATGTGGAAAGTGTCCACATGTGGACACAGATGATGCCCCGCTTGCATATCATATAGTTATAAAGGAACATAACTGAAGAACGGTAAAAGTGACGCTACCCAAATTTGAATCTGATCTGAGTTTTGTGGTAATAAGCATTGTTTGTATATCTCATAACATTTGGTTGAGGCTAACTTAAGTAGAGAACAGAAACTAAAAATTCAGCAAGTTTTCTATTTGTAAACACGCATAACTCTAGAATGGTTGTGTATAAGTTTTATAACATTTGGTTGAGACAAACTAAAGTTAGAGAACAGAAACAAAAAATTCAGCAATTCAGGGACATAACTCAAGAATGGTAAAAGTGTCGCCATCAAATATTGTACTTAATCTGTATTATGTAGTAATAAGCATTGTGTAAAAGTTTCATAACATTTGGTTGAGGCAAACTAAAGTTAGAAAACGGAACAAAAAATTTGTACTTGATCTTAGTTTTGTGGTAAGGCCAAAAAAATATATATGTCTGTTTACGGTTACCCGACCGACCCTACTTTTGAGCACCGACCCTAAGTCATTTTATTTCCGTCGTAAAGTGAAAAATAAACTGAACTCATGTCAAAAGCAAAGTTAGTGTTGCAAATGATATAAATCAATTGCCTAATACATCCCAATGTTCACAATCGTGAATATGACAGCTGTTTTAAGGAAATTCGCAACTCGTGTGATGAAATAAACACTTTGCCGCCATTTTTTTCCAAGGGAAATAATCCAATCATCAAAAATACGGGTAAACTCGGCCCATGATCAACTCGGACCACGACAAGTAGAAACGGCATGACTCAAAATCATGTCACAAAATATAAAATGAAAAAAAAAAATTAAATGGAAATACCGACCTACCTACCCTTTTTTTTTAAAGTATGTAACCTTAAACAGACATATATTGTTTTTTGGCCCAATGAATGGTTGGGGCAAACTTAAATTACAGAATGGAAGCTAAAAATTTTGCAACATTTCGATTTATAAAGGGGAATAACTCAATAATGGTTAAAGTGACACTACCCAAATTCAACTTGATCTGTAATTTATCAGTTGAAGTCAAAATTAAACATTGCATTGTATAAAGCATTGATTGTAGTTGATTCAACTATAATCACTGACAAAGGAAGATAACTCCAATTTTATTAAAAATTACTTGATATTTAGAAGAAAATAAAAATTTTGCAATTTTTCCATTTATAAAGGGGCATAACTCTAGAACGGTTAAAGTGACGCCACCAAAATAAAAAAAAAATGATCTGTGTTTTGTGGTCATAAGCATTGTGTATAAGTTTCATAACATTTGATTGAGGCAAACTAAAGTAAGAGAATGGAAACAAAAAAATTCAGCATTTCCATTTGTAAAGGGGTATAACTCTAGGACAGTAAAAGTGACGCCACCAAAATTCAACCTTGATCTGTGTTTTGTGGTAATAAGCATTGTCTATAAGTTTCATAACATTTGGTTGAGGCAAACTAAAATTAGAGAAAGGAAACGAAAAATTCAGCAATTTTTCCATTTGAAAAGGGGCATAACTCTAGAAAGGTAAAAGTGACGCCACCAAATTCCAACTTGATCTGTGTTTTGTGGTAATAAGCATTGTGTATAAGTTTCATAACATTTGGTTAAGGCAAACTAAAGTTAGAGAACGGAAACCAATTTTGGGTCGTACGTACGTACGTACAGACGGACAAGGGTAAAACTTAATGCCCCCTCCGCTACGACAGTCATAAAAATACTCTTCATTCATATATTTCAAGAAGTTTTGTATTATTGGAATCCTTAAGATTTAATAACTGAATTGACTATTCCTACATTCAGGCTTTCAAAATAGCAAAACTCTATGATACAAGTTGTGTTTTAGACAGTATATGTGTTTCATATAATTGGTTCAGACTTTCCTCTGTTTTGGTTTAAACAGTTAATAACGCTGGTGTTGGTCAAAACAGAATACTTACATTGTGCCAAATTTCTTCATTCTGTGCTAAACAGGAAGCTGCAGAAACAAACCAGCAGTTACCAATTCGACCTTGAGTAACATCACCTGCACTGGCGCCCTCTACAAACAACTTTGGGTTGTCACATATTTGCTACAATGATAAAAGTATAAGTTAATATATATGCTTTTTACATATTTTTTGTTTATTATGAAACTGAAAATGGCCAAGCAATTATCCTTATGAATCAAATACTAGAAATCTGTTTTAAAAGATGCTACATCACTTCAACAATTCTGGATGACTATATAGCTACATGTATATCACCCATCTTGTGTCTGTGCTCGTCATCAAAATAACTTGTCAACATGTTTCAAGGTCCAAATTCAATTTAAGAACAGAATCAAAGCTTATATTGTAGTTTGGGAGCTCAAAAATGATATTCAGATGTTTAGAAGAATGTTGTAGAGCCATATCATTGATACACTATCACAGTTTTCTGAGATATGGACCTAAATGTAAAACTTAGAAAAACTAAAGTCACTTACTGGAATACAATACAATAGCAGGGGCAGATAATAATCCATACAAATTCAATATGTTGCATTCACAATGTTACTAACGATAATTCAGCATCTAAAATTTCGTGAAAAATCACTAAAGTCATCAAATCAGTTGCAATAGAAAGCACACATGCTGTGTATTTAAACACACTAAATCTACTGCAGGGCCATAAAATCTGAGGCAAATAAAGACTGTTTATAAGCTTTCCAATTTATTAAATAAAATGCTTCGCTGAGCACAGCTGGATACGACCGCAGAGGTCCAACCCTGAACATTTTATTGCAAAAATAGACACAATATTCGCGCTTGATACAGGTCTGAATTTGGATTGTAATTAAATATTTGACACATAATAGGTTTCTGACACCGAATAACTGTAGTCATAGAACTTAGAATTGGTTATATGATTTGAATTTATATTCAATTTTTTGCTTTGGTGCAATACACTATGCTGTTGCGAATTGACCCCCCCCCCCAAAAAAAAAAAATTTACCCCTCTTTTTTTTTGCTTCTGTGAAATACACTTTGCTGTTGCGTATATTGATCCCCCCCCCAAATAAAAATTACCCCCCTTTTTAATTTTGCTTTTGTGAAATACACTTTGCTGTTGCGTATTTTAACTCCCCCTTTTTTTTGCAAAAAAAATATTATTTGAAGAAATTTTCTATTTAGTTTCTGAAATCTGAAATGGAAAAAAAAAATTGCCCCCCCACAATTTCTTTTTTACCCCCCCCCCCCCCCCCCCCCCCCCTTTTTCCCAAAAAAATTCTTTCCCTCAGATATGGTCATAATCTCAATTCAAATTTCCAATGGAGTTTGCAACCATAATTACCAATTTAAATACATCATAAAAGTCTTAAAATAGAAAATGACATACATAATCATTGCTAAAATTAATATTCCTTTAATAGTAACTTCTAAGAATAAATTGACAGCTAATCACCTCAAGACAATACAAAATTTCTTTATACATAATTTAAAAGCAGTGTAAGGGAGGTAATCCAAACATACACAACATTGTACTTTAAAAGTGTTTCGATTACCTCCCTTACACTGCTTTTAAATTGTCCATTAACCAGTAAACCTTTGTTTTTTCCCTGTTTTGCCCCTAATTCCTAAACGGTTTGAGCCATAACCCCCCAAAGTCAATCCTAACCATCCCTTTCTGGTATGGCAACTTGTGGTATAATTTCAGAGAGATTCATACACCATTCCACAAGTTATTGTCTGGAAACTAGAAAAATGCTTATTTAGGCCCTTTTTTGGGCCTTTATTCCTAAACTGTTAAGACCATAACCCTCAAAATCAATCCCAACCTTCCTTTTGTGGTTATAAACCTAGTGTTTAAATTTCATAGATTTCTATTTACTTATACTAAAGTTATTGTCCGGAAACCAAATGTCTTCAGACGACGACAACGTGATACCAATATACGACTGCAAAATTTTTTGCAGTCATTTAAAAACTGGTAATTCATATAAAGTTTTGATGTACAGCTGGAAGAGCTGCAAAACATGTTGCAATAACAATATACCACAGTACTGCATTAGTGCCTAAATGAAAATGGGATCTCCAGCATTAAAAAAATCAAAACAATTGTTTGTTTCTTTTAGCTAAAGTATAAGCACTTAGCCCTTAATTGTTTTTATCAATGTTCTGAAATAAATTTATACATAAGTGTCTTATCAGAGAGTTCAATTATTGGGGAAAATGGTTGTACGGTGACCTATAGTTGTTAACTTCTATGTCATTTGGTCTCTGGCAGAGAGTTGTCTCATTGGCATTCATACCACATCTTCTTATTTTTATATCTAAAAGAGAATCGCAAACAAGCTCCAATCAGTCAATCTTTGTTTAGAAAAACACCCTTCAAAAGAAGGATATACAATATTGTGGAATAATACAAGCACAAATATGTAATAGCATATTAATATTAACCCCATCATTGCAATAGTTCTGTTCTTTATCTAAATTTTATTTTATAATCAGAGTTGTGCATTTGTTAACCCTTTTGTTTCAAGCAGTTAGTTTTATTTTTGTTTTTTTATGTTGAAAGTTTTTTTTGAAATATTCATAGTTGGCAGTATTTCTTTTTTCCAATGTCAGATATTTAAAAATCTTTTATGATTATTATCATTTTCAACTAATATATATATATAATGCCAAGAGCTTCAGGTGACTGAGAATTCAAAGTTTTGTAATCTTTCCAGTGTTAGATTCTTAATATCAAGTTAGCATTTACCATATTGCTCTTATCATAGTATAATTGCAATATTAGTAGGTAAACATATTGAACTGAATACTGTGGATTCATTAGTATTTGTGGGATACCAATGTTTTGTTGATTTCATGGGTACAGGTGAACCATTACTTTACATGTTCAACAAAGTACAAATTTTCTATTGACTTATATGCAAACTTTTACCAAACCTCAAAATCAATTTATCCTCAATCCACGAAAATTGGTACCCACGAAAATAAATTAATCCACCTTACTTCAAAACTGTCCACAGAGAGGAGACAAGGAACAATAGCACTATATAAGAAAAATCATTTGCTTTTAAAAGTTAAAGAATAAAGCATAGTTGAAAATATAGTGTATGATTCATAATGATAAAAAGTCTCTTTTCTATAATTATAAACATCAATTTTCATAAATTGATTTTTTGCTGATCTTGGAAACAGCTGTAAATGCATTGTTTGTGTAACAATACTTTTTAATGTAACTGTACTTCAAGTGTAATATATACTACAGGTAAACTATTTCATAGTTACCTTGAGAAGAATCATTAACTATCTAACATCACTCAACTGTAAACTTGTGTTTTTATAGTGATTATAAACAAGCCCACATAAAATATTTATCATTTGTTTGGTGTTATGTGGGTGTGAATGATAAATACCTTCAAGTCTGTACATATGAAATCATTTTACTGACAAATTAGTAGGTCATCTGACCATCTTAACAGTGGGAAATCTAGTGAACGAAAGCAAAAGAAAATTCACTCTTCTTATGATAGAGTCAAGAAAGTCAATAATAAAATAATGCCGTGATGATACTGATCAAATAGATATAAGAAGATGTGGTATGAGTGCCAATGAGACAACTCTCCATCCAAGTCAAAATTTATAAAAGTAAACCATTATAGGTCACAGTACGGTCTTCAACACGGAGCTATTTCTAAATTAATTGTACATTTTAAAGAAATTATTTGTTAAACTGTGTTATTAGAAATATACATGCAAAACACAATGCTTTTGTTCAGTATTTATCGAGATAATTGCATTAGAAGCTTTGGAAATTGAAATTTAAAAAATGCCAGTCTTTGCTGCATATTGAAAAAAAATATAGAAAAAAATCATGTACATACAAAATCTAAAGATCTTTCGGGTCATCAATTTTCGGAGTGTTCCACAAAGTCCTTAGCATGTTACAATATCCTGAAGTATATTTATTTTTTCACACCTAAGTTATTGAGCACACCGGTCTGCTCTTGTCACATGTTCCAGAGAGGTATACAGCCAGTAGAAAAATAAACTGAAGTTGGTACTCCATAAATTTATTTGCATAGCAACATTTTAAACTAATTTTACATCAAGCTTCTATAGCCTGCTGTACTCGTCTACTTAAGGAGGGAAATGATAACATTAAATGGAAGTTTTGTTTTTATTTCAACTTACTTCTATTTTTACTATTTACCAGAACGTTTTCCTGTAAATCCATAATTGATAGCGTCCTTTCAAAAATGGGACAAACATTGAGAAGATAGTTTTCAGTGTTTACAGGGGGTTATAATATTTTGTCACTAGATTTCCCACTGTTAAGGATGTATTCTCCTGACGGTTCAGTCTCGTTGAAATATCGTTCTGGAATTATTTCCAAAGCATGTGATACAAGTGGAAAATATCAATGAATATAAAAAAATTATAACCAAACTAAAATCTGTGTAAAAATTGTGTAATTACAATAAATAGTTTTTGAGTAATAAAATTTTAAAATTTTAAAACCAATCTGGTTAGTGTCATCAGCCAAAATGTTGAGAAAATAGACGAGGATACAAAGAAATGATTTTACCAAAGATATGTACATCCCATATCAATTTTTTTCGTTTTGAAATTCTTAGATATGTATTTTTTCAATCATTTTATAACGAAGAAGTTGAAATAATATGCTTTTTGTTCTGAACAATGAGAAAAATCCCAAATTGACAAAATTGACAGCATGGTCAATTTGACACAAAGAAGCAATAAAACTTTATAAAACTTTCTTATATTAACACCTACCTATAGTTTTTTTTAAGTTAAACTTATTCAGATTGGTCCACTTCATCTTTAGTGAAAGTATGAAAATAAGTTTAATTGTGAAATTGTGATTTTTTTTTCATGATAATAGCCCAAAAATGGGTGAAAAATGGGAAAATCATAAAAAATGGATACTTTCAAATGGCCGTAGCAAAAAAAAAAAGTGCACCACCACATGATTTTTTCTTCAATCAGTTACTTTCTGACAGTCATATTAACCCAAAAATCAGGTTTAGAAAAAAAGTTTAATTCTAGAAATTTTTGGCTCCTCAGAGGTGTACATCCTTAAGACTAAAGTTCAGTTCACAAGAGATCAAATGGATTTTAAATCTTTAAAGTAAGAATATCTGTAACACTCCCACTCATATCTCATAAGAAATCTAATTTGAACAGATGTATAAGGTACGGTTTTTACATCTTTGAAAAAAAGAAAATGCAATTCTCTAAGGCTCTTTCTGCTAGTGCAAATCAAAACTTTTAAAGGAAGGAAATAATCATGATGATAAATTGATATCACTTCAGATTTAATCTGATGTGGTATGCAATAGGAAAAATGGAAAATCAGTAGAGTTAACAGAACAGTTTCAAACTTTCTCTGAACTTATTTATTAACATAAGATAAAAATTATAAATGTCTTTGATTAATAGAAAATTCACTAAGAGAAAAAGGACCTGAATTCAATTTAATCAGCCATTCAATCATAATTTGCACTTCAAAAGGGTAATAATAAGGATACATCTGCTGTAAGTATTGGGTAATCAGGAAGTTGATGAGCAATGGATGTGATAATATATCTGATCACATGGTATAGCATGCTCACATGAAGCCTGATACTAAATTTCAAGGTGCTCTTATCCATAGTTCCTGAGAAAAATGTGAAAAAATTCCATACATGGCTATTATGTGTAAGAATAGGTTCATCAAGTATTCCATTAACAGGAAGATGATACATTTTGTAAGTAATAAATGTAAAAATGCACCTTACAGAAACATACGCTCACACGAAGCCTGAACTCAAATTTCTGTGAACTGTGGAAGCTGTGATTTGTAGAGCATGAGAAAAATGTGCTGAAAAGACGTACGATATATTAAAGAAAAGTATTATTGGAATTTGAGTTCCTAACAAAAAACAAACTGTTTGTCATAGTCCTGAAATACATGTCAAGGGAAGCCAAATGTTGTTTTATAAATACAGGAGGTATATGTATATGGATGAACATGTATAGATGACCTTAAAACTATACTGGTGATATATCATAGATATTGATTAAGACAGTCAGGTGTAAAGGGTCACTAAAATACAATGGTCTAATCTTGATTAAACTGAATTGGTCTTTTAAAATCTTCTTTGTTGATGATAACATACATTATGGTATTCAATAACTGATGATATAAACAGATCTTTTTAAATAACAATTAAAGAACCTTTGTGAGCACGCTCACATACCCCACGCCCCCACATTGTCATTTGACAAACAAATTCTCACCAGATTCCTAAGTTCAAAGACTCATAACTCAACAAAAGTCAACTGATAAAAATTTTCTTGTGGATATGCACATTTACATATTATGTCCTCATTAACTACAAACTTTCATGAAATTCTGATGTGTGGTTTCAGAGAAGGTGCGATTACAAACTGTTGCAGTAGTATATTTAGGCCAAAATTCAAAGTTCAAAGGGGAATAACTCCTGGAAAAAAAATTCCATTGTATTTTCCTGTTGATAGGCACATCTACATAGTATGTCCTTATTATCTACAAAGTTTCATGAAATTCTGTTGTGTGGTTTCAGAGGAGTTGCGATGACAAACTGTTGCAGTAGTATATTTTGGCTAAAATTCTAAGTTAAAGGGGCATTACTCCTAGAAAAAAAATTGAATCCTAATTTCCTGTTGATATGCACATCTACATAGTATTTCCTTATTATCTACAAAGTTTCATGAAATTCTGTTGTTCAGTTTCAGAGGAGTTGCGATGACAAGAACAGGACTGGCCAAAATTCTAAGTGAAAGGGGCATAACTCCTAGAAAAAAAATTGAATCGTAATTTCCTGTCGATATGCACATCTACATAGTATGTCCTTATTATCTACAAATATTCATGAAATTCGGTTGTGCGGTTTCAGAGGAGTTGCGATGACAAGAACAGGACTGAGGGATGGACAGACGGACGGACAGGTGGGGTATAATAATATACCTATAATTATAAAATTGTATTACTTAAAACAAATTGCTAAACACAACACATCTTAAGTGGGAAAGACTAAGTTAGTATTAAAAGTATAAAGACTACTTAAGATTGCTACTTATGATAAGTCAATTGTATTTTGTAATGTGTCATTTTAAAAACTTCATCCTACTGAATAACAACCACTTTAACAGTTTTTTTTCAGCATTTAGACACCTCATTGTGTTCACATTTAAACTTAGTTTTTTTTCTCTCCTGGATTTAGTGCTTAAAGTATGGTCTTTACTCTATAACTGCAGTGAATTTCATTTCAAAAAAAATAATCAACAATGGCCACTCTCCATTATAGACAAGAATATAATTCATGACTAAATTTCTCTTTTTCTCTGACCATTTTTGTTGTTTACCATTTCACTCTACTATAGGTTTTGTCAAAAATGCAAAAAATGGTAAATTATCAAATAGGGCAATAACTCTAATATAGAGTGGAGGTGTGATTGCAGCTATGTGACTTATTTGTAGATCTTTTCTTGCTTATAAATCTGTTTTGCTATTTGAAGTTTTTCTTCAGCTACTATAGTTTTTGCCCCAAAACACAAAAAATGGATTAAAAATCTTCATTTAAAGGCAATAACTCCTATCAGGAGTCAACTGAAAATTTGACCATGTTAAAATATTAATAGATCTAGTCTTCACTGTCTTCTTTATCCTTTTTGCTATTTAAAGTTTCTATATATCAATAGTTTTCAAGGTAAAAGGCAAAATTGTCAAAAAAGCATGATCAGACCAAAAAAAAATATATGACCCTAAGTCATTTTATTTCCGTCGTAAAGTGAAAAATAAACTGAACTCATGTAAAAAGCAAAGTTAGTATTGCAAATAATATAAATCAACTGCCTGATACATCCCAATGTACACAATCGTGAATATGACAGCTGTTTTAAGGAAAATTTATTATTTGCAACTCGTGTGATGAATTAAACACTTTGCCGCCATTTTTTCCAACCAATTACCAAGGGAAATAATCCAATCATTAAAATACGGGTAAACTCCGCCCATGATCAACTCGGACCATGACAAGACGAAACAGCATGACTCAAAATCATGTCACAAAAAATAAAAATGAAAAAATAAAATAAAATGTAAATACCGACCTACCTACCCTATTTTTTTTAAGTATGTAACCTTCAACAGACACATATTTTTTTTTTGGCCTCAGATAAGAGCAATAACTCCTATAAGGAGTTGACTGATGAATCTGGCCATATTGACGTATTTATAGATCTTTTCTTACTGATCATTTTACAAAAGCTATACTCCCTATTCTAATCACTTACTTTAGGTCTTTTCCATACAACACCTGCCAACTTCCCTTGTGTGTGAAACACAGATCTATCATCAGGAGGAAACTCTGTGTCGATGAACAAATTTCCTTTCTTCTTACAATCATTCTTTAAATTATTATAATCTTGCCCTTTATGTTTTCTTGTTGAACTAAAGAAAGGCATTTTGAAAGGCATTTTGGTATTTCTCTACCTGAAATGCTGAAACTAAAAAAGAAATTCAAAGCTATAAAATTTACTTCAAGTAATGAGTTAAAAATAAAGATAACTTCTGCATCAAGTCTAAGAGTTACTAGAATGTCCTTTTACTCTATTACAGTAATAGAGTAAAAGGACATTCTGTCCGTTGTTCTGATTCTATTCTAAATGCTATATATACAGTAAATACAGCACACTAATTGATTGAATAACCATACAATTTGCATAAGAATTCAAATATCTATTCTATGTCAAAATATGTAACATTGCATATTTGTATTCAATTTCTTAATGGGGCATTAGCTACGATTTAGACAAAAAATCAAAATATGATTCTTTTTGTTTTAAGTATTAATAAACCTATTAAGATGAAATCAAATAGACCTAGAAAAATCCAATTGCACGTGGTTGCTATCTCTTAATATTTATGTTTATGTCAGGTTAGATGACCGTCGGCAGTCTTGGGAGGTCATCTCTATGGTTCTGGAATTTTTTTCTAAGTATTCTTGCAATTTTATAAATCAATAATAATGGAATCAGAACATTCCAAATTGGGTCTTTTTAAAAAAATCTAGTTTATACAACATTATGTCCTTTTCTTGTTTGTAGCCGAGTGGTCTAAGTAGTCGAACTAATGTATCACTATCCTGTCAACACTGAGGTTGTGAGTTCAAATCCCGCACAGGGCTGGTGCGCTAAACTCCAATCTCAATTGACCAGGATTGTCAGTTTTCCTATCGAAGATCAGAAGTTCTCTCTGGCAATAAAAACGTATTGGCTATTGCCATGAAATAGCACATCCTCTTTAATAGATGTTAATTAACTTACCTGGAGCTCTGGTCGGAGTATAGTTGTACACTGTCTTTCTATATTATTTCAAATTTACCAAACAAATTTACCTCAAAATCGTTTATCAGAAAATATATGCAATAGCAAAAATATGGAAGGAATTATGAATGCTCTGTAAATGACTCAGTCGCAAATAAGAGTAAGCATGTTTGTTGGATTTGATTTACGCTTTACAACCTAGCTTACTTACAACAATATAGAGAGAACACTTAGTGTGGGGTAATAGCTTTATAATTACCTGCAAATGTGCAAAATTACTACGGGTAACTTTCGTGTTAAGCCTACCGGTCGGATGCCCCGCCTTTTTGCATTCGGAATCCTTCTGTTTGGTCCGTATATTGCAAGGGAGAGAACCAGTCTAAGCACAGCGTAACACGTGTTACTCGATAATATGATTTTATGCGAAAAGCAGATCTGTCAAAAACGAGGAGATTGGTTTGGCTTAGCACACGGAAAATATTTGAGCAACTTGGCCACACTGAAATTTAAATGAAAATAGAAAATCAAAGTGATGGAAATCACTCATGGAAAGATTGGAAGAGTAGTTTGAATAATTTCTAATTATATTTAAGTATATGATTTGGACAAAAAAGAACATTAACTAGTATAGCAATATTGCAGACAATTGCAATTACTACATGTCTTTAGAAGGAAAAGCACTTTTTCAGTAGATAAAATGAGCTAAATATGAAACAATGAGAGGGGTCACCAATTTCGTTTAAATTGCAATTAAATGTCTTAACCAAATAATCGGTTCTTTTTCAACATAAACAAAATGAAAAATTCATTTCATTGAAATGAGGATTCATTCTTCATTGCAAAAATACACTTCCTGTATTCAAATGACTAATATTATTCAAAGAAATTAATGGGGAATAAACTAAAAAAAGATATTTATTTACTCAGTTACAAATTTTGAAATTTTACTTACTGTTTCAATAAGCCAACCACTGATAAGTGTAACCTAAATTATTGCATACATTTATTAAGTAAAATATAGACATTACTTGAATACCTATTTTTACATTTATATTTAATATTTTGTCTTTTCTTTTGAAAATAAAAGATTTTGTTAATCATTAATCATTTTTCTTTCAAACATAATTTATGGAATCATTTTATGTAGTGTAGATCAAAAGTAATAGGCAATGAATAAATCTATCATTTCTATATTTCAAACATCTAGTATATACATTTGTGTATTATACAATAATGAGGTCAAGTATTTATGTATTGTGATGTATAATGAAGGATCTGCTTAATTATATAAGACTGAGGTTGATTGGGAATTTGGTCAATATAATTGGCATTTAAGGAGGTGGGACATTCTAATTAATCCCCACCTTGTCTCTGATTGTTTGGTGATCATGACAGTTGTCAATCATGCTGGTAATGTATCATTACTCTTACCTAATTAAAATGACAAAACTAGCCTGTAAATTGATAAAATAAAGACACAAATACTTGAATAAACTACTCTAAAGATATGACCCAAATTTTTCACAGTTCATATGTGCATATGTACAATAGGCATAAGAATTACAGGGAACTATATTTCAGTGTGTATACATTCTGTAGATTTAGTAGCTAACCTGTCCTACTTCATGTTTGGGAGACCAGTGCCTTAAGAGAGACTTGGAACAATAGTTTCAATCTTTCCAAAAATAACGTATTTGTCTCCATTTATATAGAATATTGTAATGTTTATTGATCGCTAAGGTTACAAATACGAAGAATCTTATTGTTACGATACATGTTTAACGATTGAGAAATTTAGACGTTTGGCGGGAAGTCAGTGGTCGGGTCGAATGTTATAGGGGTGTTTGTGAGGGATTAACGTGTTCAATAAGGGGAACATTTAGGGAAAACCCCTATCCAGGAAATATTGTATTCGCCCTGGAGTATATAAGCGTGTAAGGAATACATTTAACCGAATTAAATTATTTAATGCCCAAAAAGGCGCAAGCCAGGGCCGACCGTGAAAGGGCTGTATAGCCAGTCAAGGTCGTTAAAAACTTCCATTTGTTGTTTAGCCGACCCCTACCGACCGTGCAAGGGCTGTATAGCCAGTCAAGGTCGTTAAAAACTTCCATTTGTTGTTGTTTAGCCGACCAGTGAGTTGTATTCTGAACCGTCAACCTCGTGAACAATTATTATGGAGTAACTGAATGATTTGAAAGCGCTTTTAGCCACCATGAAGTTAGAAGGAAAAGAACCTGAGTGGAAATTTACTGCCAGTTCTAACCAGGTTACAGTCCAACTCACCTGGATCAATGCCAAGGACCCAAACACTATATCCAGGAACCCTAAGCCGGCCCTGCAAAAGAAACACAAGCCTCCATCTACCAGGAGACGAAATGCCGAGCGTTTCACCCAGTGGATGGACTCCAAAAAAAACCGTTGCTTCCGCTGCTACCCCTGTAACTACCACCAGTACAAGCGTAGATTACATCTGTCAGACGCAAGCCAGGGATACAGCTATTGGTATGCCACTTACACCAACAAACTATCGTGGAGAACCAGAGGGAATCAAAACAAGACGGACATTGTCACTAGTCCGTACAACTCCCAGAAGGCATGCCATCGCCGTTACTTCTATACTCCATCCAAACCTAGAAGTAAGCGTAGTAGGATAGACTTCACAGAGGGTTTTGACATCGATGGCCCCGACCTACTTCGCACACCATCACATACCTCACCAATATCCATGCCAGATCCAGAGGCCATTCAAACTGCCTTTGCCTTACAAGAACGGCCAGACACTCCGTACCAACCTTAACCACCAGGTCGGAACAAGATGAAAGGGAAAAAACAGCAGATCCAACACTGCAAGAATAGGTTATTGTAGTCTGCAATAGCTATCAAGATAGCCGGACGATAAAACCCAACATCAATCAATTAGCCGACCATTACCGACCGTGCGAGGGCTGTATAGCCAGTCAAGGTCGTTAAAAACTTCCATCATCAATTCATTAGCCGACCGTGCGCAGTGGCGGATCCAGAGGGGGGCTTAGAGGGCGTACGCCCCCTTTGCTTGAACTTTTTTTATTTTTTTTTGTAAAATTGTTAATCAGACTAGACTTAGTGATCTTTGCCATTTCCCGGCAGTGTATTTAATTTTTATGTGACAATTCTTTACTTATAAAGATATTTTTCGCTCGTATCTACTGTAATATATTATTGATTATGTTGAATTCGTGTGATTCGCTACGGTGGAGTTGATCAGTACGTCGAAAAAACGACACTCAGTCATGCACTTTGAAATTCAAATTACATTGCTTAGGCGGAAGATGACAAGCATGACGCCTTCAAAGCGACAAAGGACTGAGCAAGAACGTATTGACTTCTATTTCACAATTCCATGTACTCAACAGAAAGTAATACTCTATTACACTCTCATGAAAAAAAAAGTTCCAAAGCAATATTATTCACCTACGCAAATATGTGTAACCCCACACGCCCCAGCGAATTAATAACATTGCTGAATAATGATCCCCAGTCAGTAAGCTCTAGATAGATTTAAAGTCTAAGGTACGGACCATTTGATTTGATAGGGCAGTCTGAGATATTTTAGAGAAAAAATTTTGACCCTGGTTTTTGCCTTAAACAAAAATTCTGGCCGTATCTGTATTGAAAACAATTATCGTGTCCCCTTTTTTGAAATAAGAAAAAAAAAAATCCAACAAAATTATTCAGCATTAAGTGAACATGGTGAATAAAAAACGGGCGTAATTATTTTGGGGGGTTTGCATGTAAATCCCATATCTGACTGGAATGTCTGTTTCGCCGAACTTATACTGAATACTTTTTTCAAGGCCCAACTGCAACCTGCCTGCTGGGTGTGGCCTTTATGTCTCCATTTGTCGACCGTCATTCACAACTTCGTTGTCATTTGATTTTCAGACTCATTCGTAGCCTTTGGTTGATTTGGAACCCCTCACTTCCCTTGTTGGGTGAAACATTTCAACCAAACATTTGGATAAACATTGCTTGTTTGTCTTTGTTCGTGTCGGTCGTATTATAAACTTCATTGAATAGCCGTATATCATGTTTACAACAAGAAATCTGTGAGGTTATGCTTATTAACCATACAACAAACGAGAATTTTCCATGTCCATTTTTTACCGAAAAATCCCACATCAAATATATTAGTACATAGCTTTGGATCCATTCAATCATTTTATAATAGACAATTAATGGGGAGAATGTGGCATCAAAAATGTCCAACCCTAGCTTACACTTTAAGTATAAAATATACATGCCCCACGTCAGGAATCGTTAAAAATGTGCATTTTACACTTATTTTATGTTTTTTAGCCCAAAAAAGGTTAAAAAAAATTTCGCCTCGCTCCAGTCGGCGAACTTTACATACTACGCCCCCCCGTTTCAAAAATCCAGGATCCGCCCCTGGTGCGAGGGCTTTATAGCTAGTCAAGGTCGTTAAAAAACCCCATCATCAATTCGGGTTCTGTCAATGTTCTTATAAAGAAGACCAGCTTACAACCAGAGGTACGTTGCATAGCTGTAAGTTACATAGAAGAGCTATAGCACTGGGTACAAGTTGGTCTAACATAGGAAGTTGGCAGAGCACACTGTCCCACTCGGACAGACTGAAACAATCCGCACTGTCTGGTAGTGACAGACTGTCCCTCTCGGAGGACATGCTGTATACCAGCCCGCACTGTCTGGTAGTGATATACTGTACCAGCCCGCACTGTCTTATAGTGACAGATCGTCCCATTCGGAGGACAGGCTTTTTGATAATCATATTTGTGTATATATATTGCTCGTTGTTACTTTATATCGGCAAAGAGCCACTGTATATATCTTAGTTCATTGTGCCTTACAGAGATAGAGTTTTAGGGTTTTTGTAGTGCCGTATTGTTTATGGACAGCTTGAATCCAAGTATTTACTAGAACGTTCGTTTATGATATAAACGCCTTACTGGTTACACTGAGAGATAATTACGAAGATTTGTTCACCGAGAGATATATAATATCTGGGACTATTATAGATTACCTGATTTCAACACTCTCTTTCTAGTCTGTTCAGTCTCCCATTTGCCAAGTAAGTCAAATGATGGACTGGAGCTGTGCCGTCGGGGATTATTTCTCTGGTACCGCCACGGAAGCCGGATTGGTTCAGGCCAGATGAACGAAAAGCAAATGGGTACCCCCCCCCCCCCCCCCCCCCTTTTCTTTATTATTTGACTTTATTTTATTTTTTTTCCTATCATACATTTATACTTGCTTTATATATTTTTGGTTTTATCTTATAAAATTACTGTTTTTCTTGCGCCCACCGGAAGCGTTGAGTATTGATCGAGATTGACAGTT